AGATTATATACTTAGTTTTGTGATAACTTTTTTCTATATTGAAAATAAATTTGAAAAAAATAAATAAAAATGAATAAAAAAAATTTTTGGGGAATCTGAAGATGAGGGTGCCTTTACTGTGCGCGAATTTATTTTTACCAGATAAATGTAATTTAAAATGTTTATATACAGAGTTGTAGAGAATTCTTCAGGCTATCCGAATATATCCTTACTTTACTCAAAATGCTATTTTATAGTAATGATTTGTGGAAAATACTGTGTCCAACTATTTTTTGCCACGCGGATATAGATATAGGTCAACACATTGACCTATATATATGTATTTCTTTTTTGCGTCGAAAATATTCACAACGTCTCATGATGGTAATGACGCACCTAATAAATGCTTCTTTACCATCTTGTATTTTGTACAAGCCGATTGTTTTTTCTTCCTAAACTTTCCAATATGGTTGCCAATTTATATTTACTTTCCATTTAATTTATGAGTAAACCAAATTCAAGAATTTTATATTTAGTTATAAGCATAAATTTTGAAAACAAAATTTATGCTTACAAATAAATATAAATTTTAAAAAGTTAAAGTTATTTTAAATATAGAGTGTGGGTGCGGATGAGAATAAGACCCACATCCACAATCCATACCCACATCCAAACTCTTGATTACTGTGGTGAGCGAAAAAAGAAACATTTTGTGGTTCTGAAATGAATGATATATGATATAAATATTTGAATGTAAACTTCGATATTCTGTTAATAACAGATAAATGTAAACTAAGAACTGATGAAGAAGATTACATTGTCGAATGAGATAGATATGCGACCTGTTGAATTGAAGAAAAAATTTAATTGCTTTTCAAGATCAAAATTCGACAGATCAAGAGTAAAAACAACTTCAAATTTCATCACACGACAAATACAGGTTATATTAATTCTCGAGAGAAGAAATAATTGATAGTTTTATCAAATCTTGTTCGGTATTTATTGGATTGATTTGAATAGACTACACTCTTGCTTCTCTTCACGATAATTGTCGACCAGTTGCTATGCACAAAGAGGTTTCACACAACGATGATGTATGCTAGCTAATTGAGCAAACGAAAAAATTTTAAAGAAATCAGATTTTTCTGAGAATGATTGCGCTTATAGTTAGAAAAATCTTATCAATTGAAAATAAACATCAATTTGAAGTGACACTTACGCCTTACCATGAATCAAAAGAAAAGAAGTTTGTCTTCGGCTTAGTCTCGAAAAATTTCCATTAAGCTTTTGTGTAAAATCACCAATACGCAATTTAACATTCATATGATTTATTTAAGAAAACAAGTGCTGTACATCATTAGAATTACATACATATCCATACTGACGCAAAATGGAAGGGACTATTTCAATAGAGTACATAATGAGAGAATCTCATCAACATGACAGCATAGGTTTTTGAAATCTATGCAAAATACATGTTCAAGATATCATTTTAATAGTCAATTCATTCAGAGGAATAAATCACAACATTCATATTCTTTAATATTGTAATACTCCGACCTCATATATAATCTATCTCCTATCCTCGATTGAAATTTCTTTACCTCGTTCTCCTTCTTCATGCACTTTGGAGCTATATCATTAGTTTGTCCTTCTCTCGTACATAATGTTATCCGCAAAAGGAATGACCACAATATCCTTTTCCGTTCTGTCTATGTACTTTGGAATGACATGCTTGGTATGTTCTTCTCTCGTATATAATAGTATCCACAAAAGGAATAACCACAATATCCTTTTCCGATCGTTGTGTACTTTGGAATGACATCCTTGGTGCGTGATCCATAACTGTGCTTTAACTTTTGTTCTTCTCGTATTTTTCTGTTATTGTGTTCACTGTATTTTTCAAGGTCGTTCTGTATATACGAAGTAGTAGATAAGGAACGAGAAAAATACCGCATTGGGACGTTTTCTTGTTATATCCATAAAATATACTTAGAGTAGCTTTTAACTGGTATCTCTTACTACAGAAATCGTCACAAATATGACTTTTTCAAAAGAACTCTAACAAATTTCATTATCTTCCTCATTTTTGAATTCGAATTTCGAACGCACAATGATATCGAACTAAGTCTATGAAATTTGCAGTGTATAGTTCGAAGAATTATTCCGATCGAACAGCTTAAGTGCAGCAGAACTGTAAATTAGGGTGGGGTGTGGGTGCGGGTATAAGTCTTCCCTTAACACCCACATCCACATCCCATTGTTTCTATTTGACTAATTAACCAAATATTTAAATAATATAATTGATGAATTTAATTTTCAAGTTTTATACTACTAGATAGCATGTGTTCAATGGTGATATACAGTTAATTCGTTGTATGTATTTGAGTATTCAACATATATTCTTGAAACTCTTTGATCATATTTTATGTATTATTTCGCGTAAAATCCACGGATATTTCTGTTTTTCGTGTGCCAATTGAGGAAATCTTTCTTGAACCTGAACAACTTAATGTTGTTGTTCATTAGATCGGTGCCTTAGACAAACTTTTATTCAAAAAATATCATTTTTTCATTGTCCTTTGATCTTGTATTTCATTCTGATTGATAATGACAAACTATTGATGTTAAGACTATAACACACATCCACTTATCAGATATAGATTTATGTATATAGACATACAAACACAATTCTATCTTTAACTTAGAAAAGTCTATTTGTTCTAATTGTTTTTTTTTTATTAAAGTTTATGCAAATTAACACTTTTTTTGGTTAAGACGACAATATCATTTTCATCCCATGAAAGAATATCTTCAAGGTGCTGATGTTGATGGTATTTATCCGATTTTATTAGTTTTCCATTAGCCGAAATATGAAAGAATCGACAATGATCATGATCCATTACTAACCATTGATCAACATTAATTGAACAACAACGACAATGTCCATGAATTTGAACTGACCAAATACATTCAAATGTTGTTGACGAACGTAAATCAAAACAACTTTCTTCTTTATGTTCATTAAAAATAGGAATAGCAAGAAAGCTATTTTTATATTTCAAATCACAAATAATTTCATTTTTTTCATATGCTACTGATGAATTCCATTCTTTAATAAATTCAAACGATGATCAAAGATTAAATTCATAGATTGATGAACCCCTTTCTGCTGTTGATAAGAATAAAGTATCTTCTGAAATTGTTCCATGCGACCAATTTTCATTAGATGAAATAGAACATTTTTCTAATAACATTGTATTTGCATCAAGTATTACTATTGCTTTAAATATAATGATGATAAATCGATTAATTGTTGATGACCAACAAATAATTACTATGAATATTATAATGTGTAAATGGTATGTCACTAATAATTTTTAAATTTCGATCGAGTAAACATAGATGTGTATTTTCTCGATTAACAAGAAGATATTTATCATTAACAGCCATTGAACTTTCAATACCATTAGTCATATGAATAGTTCGATAAGGATGAGATAGAGGAAAGATATGTTGTTGAACAACAAGATGTTCATTGATAATTAATGGATAAAGACTTAATCGAAAATGTTCAAATTCATTAAGTTTTATTTCGGCTAATTGAATATTATGTTTAATTAAATTATATTGGTTTTGTGTTAGATCTTGTTCTTTAGTTAATTGATTAACTTCATTTTGAAGATGATGAAGTTCTATTTGATGTTTTTCTTGTTGTTTTTCAATTAAATCATGACGTTTTTCTTTGCAATATTGATCTATAGATTGATAAGCTGTTTGATGCCATTGTTCAAGTTCTTCAAGACAAAATGGTTTCACGGATGATAATTGATTGAGAAGTTTATCAATTCTATCAAGTAGTTGCTCATTCGTTTGATGTTGATGTTCAATATGCTTTAGATGTAAATGTGACAGAGTTGTCTCTACAAGAGATTTACTTCTAAGTATTGGACGCATAAAAATACTTAAAACTAATCGAAGAATAAGTGAAGCTGTTTGTATTTTTATAGAGATAAAAAATAGAATAAAGTAGAAAGTAAATGACAAAATAAATATAATCTAGATTCAAATTGACAAAAAACAAAATGTCAAAAGAAAAAAAACCTATCAATCGGTTTCTTTTTGTTGTAAGAAACATATATTCTCTCTCTCTATTGTCTCTACTATTAATAATAGACTAGATTAAAACAATCATTAATAAATTTCATAAAATATTTACATGTTACTTTGTTCTATTTATCTTGAACATACTTACATTTGACATTATTTTTCAACTGTAGAAATAAAGTTTATCGATGAAATATCATCAAAATTCAGAGAGAACTATAAAACAAAAATTTGATGTATAATATCTAGTACAAAAAATCCACAAAGATACTTATATGAATTCAATTGATTGGGATAATGATTGTTCAATAAATTTATAGCTGATCGAATGATGGATTAACTCTGATTTAGATATTGAAAAATCAGTTCAATATGTAATAATAATGCATATACATTCGATGTTTGTTTGTCGAATATAAAGCGTTGATCAGAAAAGAAACAACAACATTTCTGAATATTTCAATTAAGATGTTTATTATTATTATTATTGTGTTTTTAAATAATAGAATTAAAAGTAGAAGTATTTATTTGAAAAATATTTCATTTAATATGAGTTTGATCCTTTTTATTGAATTATCATCTGTGGTCACAATCGGATGATAGTATATGGAAAGCATAACTCTATAACAAATATATTTTAAAAAAATTGATTAGATTGAATCAAATAGTTATTCAGGTATTAGCAATTGATAATCCTATATTAGAAGAGGTATACGAAATAGAAAATGTACTTTTAGATTATCAAAATGATTTAGCAACACATTTACTTGACTATATGATTTAAAATTGAATGAGTCAAACAATATACTCCTTTGAGGACTGATGGCTCATTTTTGAACCACCTATTTTTCAGTAAAGAAAAAAGTGTTTATTTCACATTAAACTATTAAATATGTAAGATCATTAAGGTCAATTTTTATGATTAATTTTGATAATGAAACGCATTTGTACATCCAAATTGGTATTTGATTTAAAAGATGGAAAAAATTGTTTCTTTAATTATCATATGATTTTTATATAAGCCATTTTGAGTTAAAATAAAATAAAAAGGTCGAAAAATGTTTTTTCGATTAAAAAAAATTCGGTCCTCAAAGGATACAGTAGTTTATATTTCAAATGAAAACTGGAGCTGCTCTATGTCAATTCGACCCAACACATTATTCTATTCTTGTGGAAACTCTTTTAGAAGCAAGTGTTCTTAATATTAACGTAAGAAAAAAAAGATGCTATTATTTGATACAGCTAATGTTAATGATGCACAATTTGATCAATCATTGAATTAATACAGTGATAAATATCATGCTTTATTAATATATATTTGCATATAGAAGAAATCGATATTCGATACGTGACGTCATTCTATTGAGTATTTTTCAAACATTCACTAAAATTTACTTATTCGAATCTTGATTATACAGATTTCTAAAAGGCAAGGTATTTAAAAAAACATTTATAATGCATCGAGTTTCTTTTCAATATAATAACAAATATCTACATTGTCGACTTGTGAGAGCGTCTTTACTAGAGATTGGTTTGAATTATTCGATTCTTGTTTTTTTACAAGCAACATTTTTGTTTTTAGCAATGACTAATGTCAGTATAAATAATGGTTCTTTAATGATTTCAATTTTTTAAGATGCAATACTTGATTGAGTTAATTTATCAAGAGATAATTGTCGAATATGCAATATTCTTTAAATGTCAATTATTAATTTTTATATACTGGACACACTATTCGAGCGAATGACGTTTTCATTTGCAAATTTAGCTGAATATAGAACATTAACAGATCAACAGATATTGACGAAAGTATTTCTACATCAAACCATTCTTACATAATGGAGCACTTGTTGAAGGAGACAGAGAATAAATTCGAGCAATTTGTTTTTTGGATGGTTGTTTTAAAGAAACAAAAATGTCTATTTCTGCATGCAATGTATTCTATAGAAATAATGAATGAATCTATTTTCATCGATTTTATCTTTACTAAACGAATTCATAACTGACAATGGATATGGACTGAATACAATCGGTTTTGTATAAGACATCTTATTTTAAGTAATTAGTTAATTATCAAGTTGCTTGCCTAGAAATTATACATGAGATTGCGTTTTATTATTTGTTGAAAATCGATGCAAGTACAGGAAGAATGATTTATACACATCAACAGATGCATGTGATCATTTCATTTATTCATATATCTTAGTATTATATCCTCATCCTGATGTTCAAGTTCATTGGCACTCTTATCTTTCAAGAGTTGGAACCAAATGATTCAATTAATGAGGGTGTGGGTGGATGTCGATAGAGGTACCACACCTACCCACATTCATACCCACACCTACAAAACTGAACAGAGAAAGAGCGATTTTCTATAGGTAGTTTTAGCTATTATCATGTTTTATATAGTTAATTGGACTATTTTTTTTCCTAGAAATAATGAATATTGATATTCAGTCAACTTTATCATGTGAATCATGCTGCATAATACAAGAAAACAAGAGGTATGATGCGATAAATATATTATTTGATCTATCAATTTAAAAATCCATTCGGCTAGGAATAAAAATCTTGTTAATGATATCATACAAGTGCAAGAAGTTATATGTTACGTTAGATGATACTTTATTATAGCGCACATCATCTGAATACTCACGTTTGAAAACAGATTTTGAATTTTAATATTATAAGAGATGATTGAGGAAATCGGAAAAGTTCAATGTCATATTTAGAAGTTACAGCATGTGAAATAAAACATTTTTCAATTCAAGAATCCGAATATTAGTATAGATCTAAATTTTGTGGAATTCACATATATTTTCGAAAAAAATAGTGAGTGTAAGTTTTAAATTGAAGTTTTCGCGGCAAGCGTCAGACTTTCTAGTTTTGTTGAAAAATTGATCAAGTTATAATTTTGAAAGATAATCAACATCATTGTTTGTGAACTGATTAATATATATGTAATAGTGTATAAGATCTTTTGTAGACATCGTGGACATGTAAAACAGATGTATTTGCCAATCAATTCAATGATCATAACAATCATAGTTTACGAGAAGTTTCGCATTTTATACATATTTTGTATTAGTTTAATGAGTCTCGAGAGTATATGTGAATTCCACATTTCAGCTTCAAATGGGCTGTGCTAATAAGCCTTTTCGCTTGAGGGCATAACGAACGTTTGATTCGGAAGGGTCGAAAAAATGCTATCCGATAACCTATGTAAAATGAAATAAGAACAATGGAATCTGGCAATAAAGGTGAAAATATAATTCAATTTTTGGAATATTAAAAAACTTTTGATAACAATTCGAAGAATTAATCAATTTTCCTTCTTAACATCTTTGTATATTTGACTTTCTTTCAACAAGTATATATATATTGGTTATGAATTCCCTTCAATTTTTTACTTCATTGTGGTTTTTAAAATCACGCCTAAATCTATGTATACACAATTGTTATGCCATAGTCTTGATCAAGACACTCAGAGTTAGTGAATTCTCTTGTCGATAAAAAATCGTTCACATTAAAGTTGTCGCTTTTGTAGTACAACAATTACGACAAAAACCTATTTTTTTTATAATATCAACATTCTGTTACGAAATTCGTTTGCAAATTCAATGAAACAAAAAAAAATGATTAAGTGATTCATTTGAGATCGAAAGATCTTTGTGAAATGATACAAAGTCGTACAAGATTCATGTATTATGAGGTCATTAGAAAAATCTCAAATAATTTAATCAAAATTATAGTCTTTCGATCGTAAAACAATTCCTCGTTTAATAATAACATAAAGATATTAATAGATAACCATCACATGGTTAGTTTTAAGAAATGAATTTGGCAAAGGAAACTTCCTGCAGCATTCTAGAAAGCTTTCCGTATTTGTAACACAAGTCATTTACTAAAATATGATCAACAATT